TTTACTCAGGACATTTAAAGAACAATTAAAATAAGCAAAAATATCCAGGTGGAGATTTGAAACTTGGATCATAGAGGGTAAAACATCAGTGAGGTCTCACTCTCCCCGTCTCGTCCCGCAGACACAACCTGATGCAGATGTGCTGGCAGTACAACCCGAAGATGCGTCCGACCTTCCAGGAGATCATCGAGATGCTGAAGGACGACCTGCACCCCTCGTTCCGGGAAGTCTCCTTCTTCTACAGCGAGGACAACAAGCTGCCAGAGAGCGAGGACTTCGACCTGGACATGGAGAACATGGAGAGCATCCCCCTGGACCCGTCGTCGTACTCCCAGAGGGAGCAGTGCTCGGACAGGGACGAGGCGTCCTCCGTGGGCCTGAGGGGCAGCTACGAGGAGCACCACATCCCCTTCACGCACATGAACGGGGGCAAAACCAACGGACGGATACTAGCGCTGCCGCGGTCCAGCCCATCCTAACACATCCCTCGACAACCACGTCCACGCTACAGAATAAAATCTATTTTTGTTCTCATTTTATATATATACATATAGATAGATCACACTTTGATCACTTTGTCCTCAGAAACCCCTCAACACACATCTCAGGACTTTATTTTTCTCTCCAGATGCCACAAACACACACTACAGCGAGTCCACACGCGGACGCCACAAGACACTTTTTGTATTTAAGGACGAACCTCCTGCTTCTCTCTGTTGTTCAAGATTGTACTTTATATACTGTACATAGATATATATATATATTGCCAATGTTGTGCTCGACTGGGTGGATTTTGGATTCAACTGTGAAACAAACTCTTGACAAACAAGAAGGCTGCTAAACCCACTGTCCCTCCTTTTCGTCCAGGCCGCGTCCCTCTTCGCCCCTCAGTCTGTCCCCCGGGTTGCTTCGTTTTGGGGAATAAAAAGTGCCCTTCTCTTTTTGTCTGTGGCCTACATCGGTTGTCATGGAACGGAGTCTTTGAATGCATGTGGATGACGAACTGAAAATGAAACAAAAGAGACTACTGGATGGTCCAAACGATGATCCATCCTGGAACAAACTGATCCACTAGAGAAGCTGGCTGAAGTGGCTTACCTCCTCACACTGCAGTATTCCAAAAATGGCACACAGGATAAAAACACAGGACTTCTTTTGGGTTCTGTTTTGTTTTTTATTTATTTACATGTCTTTTATTTCTGTTTTCCCTCCCTTTTTTCCCCTTCTTTCATGTATTTGAGTTTTCACATCTACAGCTGAAGGATATTTAAACAGTTTTTTTTTTTTCAGAGACATGTTGGCAAACAGGTTCGTCAGATTTACCAATAGCTGCTTTGTTGGTATATTTTAGTGGGTATAGAAGTTAAGAAATATAAATATATATATATATATAAATCTTATATTGATGTTTTTGTACATAGATATGTTGTCATTCTTGAGGTATTTCCGGTTAGATAATGTTTTTACATGTTAGTCTCTTTTGTTGTTTTTTTTTCTAATCCAGAAAGTCATTTACTAATTTGCTTTTTTTTTCTGACTTGTGATCAACCAACAGCACTTGGTCTTTTTACAGTGTGATGCCCAGGAGGAGGAGTGTTTGGTGTCTCCAGCTTTAAAATGTCTGCCCATCTTATCAAGATCAAAATAAAAATAGTGCTGTAAATAATGCAGCAAGGTGCATTTGTGACAAATGTGCATTTTTTTTTTCTTCTTTGCATACCTGTTGAGACTGAGTTAATTTGCTACACAACTTTTTACAAAATATATGTGATTGGCTGGTTTTACCTTATTACTTCAAGAAGACTTGCTAAGCCTGGCAGTCATTCATCCAGCAGCCCCGTTGTGTTTTTGAGTTAAAAATGTTTAATTTGAATAGGAAATTTGAAAATATCACTTGATAATTATGTGTTATTAAAAGATTGGAAGATTAATACCTGAACACCAAACTATAAAATCTTTAAAAATGCAAACATTTTAAAAAGACCTAAATAAATAAGCAATGCTAAGCCTGGTGGGGGCACAAGTAAAGCCTGGTGGCCCGCCAGGCTTATAATACACCGGTGGAAATCCTGTGTGTTGTTATTATTAATCCCGGGGCTTTTATGATTTTATTTCTGGTTTTATTTGAGATTGATTCTAGCTGCCCTTATCTAGGACGTTAATGTTACTTCCAGTCAAAAAGAAGCAGCCATCATCCATTGTCCATAACAGCTGGTTCATATCTCTAGGAGAAGCAGGACACACTATGGTCAGGTTGCCATGGCAACACAGAGACGCACAAAGCAGCCATTCACACACACTCATCTAAAGGACAATTTAGAGAAACCAATTAACCTACTCTGCAAAAAACACAAAATCTTACCAAGTACTTTTTGGTGAAATTTCATGAAAAAATAACTTTTCAGCACGATATATGAGCTTGTTTTAAATCAATAATTCTTATAAGTGAAATAATTTCCCAGTGGAAAGATTTTTTTCCCCCCCATATTATAAACCATAATGTCTTGTTTTGCTGTTGGATTATGTAACTTCATAACTAGTACTTTTTCATCCATTATTTATGTAAAACAACCACCTGTATCAGGGCTGTCAAATTCATTTTCAATTTGGCCCAAACCAAGATCATGAAGGCTCTTAAAGGGCTCATACTTTCATGATATTTGGCAAGAGGTCAGACTGGGGGGGTAATTCCTAATTTCTTGGTTAGTCACTCCTGGTAGGACTTTGAACTGGCCTTAATAACTTACATTTTCTTTTAATTTCCTTAATTTTTAAGAAAAAAAACAGTAAAGTAATTATAAAAAGTAAACAATAGCACATGGTAAAACACGCAGGAGGACTCAGGAGTTTAATAAGAATCCCGTATTGAATTGATGAACTTGAGATTTGAATGAAATGCTTTAAGAAGTGTAACAGTGCCACCTGCTGTTTAAAACGTAAATAAACACGGTCTTGAATATGATGAAGATAGAAGTGACACGTACACAAAAATCCACTGTTTTTCATTAACAGCAGATTTTACCATTCCAAATTTTAGCAAAGCATAGCGCAGTGAAACACAAACAGTAAATTTTGCATAAAAGTGAACCCCTCTTTAATTAGGACCTAATTTTGGGTTCAATTTTTTAGTATTTCTGAAGAACATTGTCACTTATCCAAAGCTACCCCGGACTTAGTATAATGTGTTTAGCATAATGCTAATTGCTGGAGTTTTCTACACAAAGGAATGCTGATTTTTCATAACAAAAAAAAAAAACACATCTATTTCTTCACAGTAGATTCTAACAAGGTCCCATAGCATGACATTCCTGAACAAGCTCTGCACTGGTCGAAATCCAATCCATTAGCTTATTAGTCTTTAAAATATATCTTTAGTACTAGCTGGACTTTTCTTGATGTTCTAAATTATTCAATACATTGTTTATTTGGATGCAATTTTGATTATGGTATTGTCCTTGTGCTTATAAGGCTAATCAGGTTGTTTTGATTAACTTAATTTTTAAATAACCTTGCAAATTTTGGATGTCATATGATGAACATGCATTACAATTTAGCCGTGGCAACAATTTGGAGCAGCTAATTAGCATATCAAAGGCTTAAATAAGATTTTTCAGTCAGAGGCTTCTTCAGATGTGTTGCGAGATTGACTGCTACCGGTGTTCCGTCTTGCCCACTGCGTAGCAATTCCCTTTTTGAAGAAACATGGATGACATGAGTTACGGCAATGTTTATTTTGCCCTTTTATTTTATTTTATCTTTTTATTTAGGATAAATAAAGATTTTTTTGCATCAAATTGTATCATTTAACTTCAAGTGTTTTGAGATACCTGGGAAAATAAAAAAAAATACAAATAAATTGAATATAAAGTAAACGATACGATGCTTTCAGTACTTTTTTAGGTTTTTAAATGTAAAAATTAGTATGTAATGCTGATTTAATTGCGGTTAATTGGTTGACACCCAAAATCAAGAATATTGAGTAAATAGACAATCGTCTTGCCATAGCTCCATGTAAAGAGCGCTGTTCGACAAACATAGGTGCTGCGTTCACTGCCCCTAACGAGTGTTTGGAAAAAGGACGGACTAGAGAGGAGAGGAGGCTGGGATTTCTTTTAAAACACTCCCTTCATCGTCCAACCTACCGTTTTTTTAATGATTTGTGCACTTGTTCCTCCGAAGACATCTTTACTATTTCTTCCTTTCTGTTTAGTTGGATCTGTAAAGAGATCTATTAACTTAACCTTCGCCTGGAAGTAAACAGAAAGTTGCGTTTCGCCTTCGACGCGTCCTCCTCCTACTGCATGCTTTTCCTGCCTCCAGGTAAAGTGACTGCTTTTGTGTTAAAACGTTGTAGGAGGAAAACAGATTGTAGGTAGCTAGCGCTGACAAACGAAGCTAGCAGATTTTATTTTTAAACAAAAAAAAAACGTAACGTCACTTGTGTGTTTTCAGTTAAAAAACACAGATAAAATCGAGTGATTTTCATTATTTTTATTTTTATTTTTTTATTGTTTACCCAAACTCGAAATGAGCTGGAGTTATTTAATAATTTAATCAAACTCAATTTATTTTCACCGTTGCGTGTCAGATTTTGTAAAGTTAGCCTTTAACCGTTGGGAAGCCGTTGGGCCACGCTACGGGTTTGCTAGTATCACCTTCTGCCACTCCCGTTTCTCACTCTCATGCTTCAGATCACCTGCCTCCGCCGAGCTCATCTGACACTCAGTCGATGGGAAATGTTATGAATCCAGGTCAGATACCCTCACCTTGGCATTCCTAGCATTCCCATTCCAGTGCAGCGCTTAGTAATCTCGTCCTGCCGTTTCCCATTCCCTCTGTTGTTGTTGCACATGTTCAACATCATTACAGAATAAGTGTGTTTATATTTTCTTGCTAAAATAAATAAATATAGTTTAAAGTTTTATAAACGTATTGTATTCAGTTGGATTTATTTCTGAATTATTTTCGGTGCATGGAAAAAAAAATAAAATCCACAGCAACTATTTGTTTACTCTGGTGGATTGATCCTGCTAAAATCAACAATAAATAAATAAGGAAATAATTGTAGGTGTATATGTTGTAATAACTTGTTTCCATGTTTATTTACACATTTATTTATTTATACAGGAAGTTTGTGTGAATTCTTGGGAGCTGACTGGTTTGTTGACCAATCACAGTAGATTTTTATTTCCTCATGGTTTTTATTTAATTCTTAAGTTATGTCTTCATTTATTTATGTATTTATTTATTAGTCGTTGCAACAGAATCAGTCCTTCATAAGTTTCAGGAAAGAAACACTAGAGATGAAGTTAAGAAGCAAATCAAAGTTGGTTTAAGATTAAAAGAAAATGTTTCGAGCTTCCAGCATCCGATGGAGAGTTAATCTTGACCTTGAAAATTAATGCAAAATTGCAAAGGCAGTTATAATCATAGCAACAACAGTGCATGGTTTAGATCAAGGTGGATTCGGGCGTTATGATGGTCCAGTCAAAGTCCAGACCTAAATCCAGATAAATTTCTGTTTCCTTTGTCAAAGAGAAAGATGTCAAGATATGGAAAGCTGGTACAGATATACTCCAACTGAGTTGCAGCTGTAATAGCAGTTGCATTGTACAATACAGTACAAATGCACAACATGTGTAAAAGTTGTAAAATGATTAGAAAACTTGTATAAATATCACCTGCTTTCCTTTTCAGACATAGTTTGTGGTTGCAATGTGACAAAATGTGAAAAAATTGAAGGAATACTTTAGCTAGGCCCTGTGTTACCTTTTGCTGTGATGTGTAATTCAAACGCTAGACTTTGATTTTATAATGATCTCATTTTTGTATAAGATGAAAACATATTTTAGTTCATTAGAAGTTGGGAAGTTGTACTTTTATTAATCTTTCAAATCCATATCATCTTCAAGGTCAAAGAAAGTTCAGTCATTAAGTCAAGGTCAGATTCTCAAACACATTGTTTGGATTTGAACTCATAAAATACTGAGAAATATTAGTTTGAATTGTTTATGCTCAGAGTAATGCGCCTGGTCTTTTCTGCTTCAACAGTTAAGTTGTGTCTGACACTTTACTCTGATCAGAGTTACAAATTCCCAGCCAAACGATGCCGTGTTCAGTTTGAACTTGAAACTTTGGATTGCTATCTTTAAGTCAACTGACTGGAAAATCTGGAAGCTCCTCCCCAACCATGGGCCGAGAATCCAACATGGCCGCCATCTGCCAGCATTTAGTGTTAAAATTATAAACAGGATCATATCTCTGGAAGTCAGAAAGGGCAATGTCACGGCTGTGTGTTTGAGACGCAGCTCTTTTACCACAAGCCACTACAAAGGGATCCAATTACGGCTTTGCATACCTGTCGTAGTATTGACAGCTATTGTTCGCCGTATTGGTTCCGTAAAATTTGGCATGTTTCTGTGTTGGTTCGTAGTACTGCTGCTGCACAAGAAGAAAGTATGTCAGAGTTTTGCCTCTTCCGCTTCAGCTGGTGTTATTTTCCTCCACAGTTGGTTTTGTTTTGTTATTCTGATTAACGCTAATCTAACTGTTGTTTAGATTTCTAAAGTCTCGTGTTGGATTCTTTTTCTATTAAAGTTTATTTTTCAGTACTGATGAATATTTTGTGTATTCCTGATTGTTAGCCATGTGATCTAATTAGACAGCCTCAGGCTGCAGCTGCTTCATAAGTCTGAACAAGACAAACTGATGGAAAAACAAATGAATTAACCACCTTTTCAAACAAGCCTTCATTTTCATCTTGTCTGTTATTAAATTTGTGTCGGTACCCATGGTTTCCCCCAGTGTTTTATAAGCCTGGCAGGCCACCAGGCTTTACTTGTGCCCCCACCAGGCTAAGCATTGCTTATTTACTTAAATACTTTTAAAATGTTTACATTATTTAACACTTTATTGTTGGTATTCACATATTAATCTTCCAATCTTTCAATAGCACATAAAAATCAAGTAATATTTTTAAAATTTCCTGTCAACTGTAAACATTTTCTAACTGAAAAACATGATGGGCTGCTGGATGAATGACTGCCCTACCGCCCAACCTCCAGGCTTAGCAAGTTTTCTGGGTCTCTGTGTGAGATATTGCATTTTCCAGTCAATCTCAAACGTTTATTCAAAAGTTCCCTACGACTTTAGGATGAGGAGTTGTGAATAGATTTCTTTACTTTTGGACACTGACAGATGCTCAGTGACTTTACGAGTCTACCACATTTAAAGCCAAAGATTGCAGCATGTGTTCATCCATTTATCTTGAGGTTAATAAGTAAACTAACTGTGGTCAAGGCTGTTAAAGGCGAAAGCAGCAGGAAAAGTGCAATGTATAACTGCTGAGCCATTGGTTTCATAATGTTTTGGTGCAACATGAGTAAACTTTGCATGCACACTTTGGGATGTTTAATAAGAAAACCAAAATAGAATATGCACATTGTTCTGCAAACTCTTTGAGACGTCAATGGAAAACTACAAATGAACATTTCTCCTCACAATTTAGGTTGACATCAAAGAGCAGCAATGTAAACAGCCTGGAGTTATGTCATGTAGTGGGTGCATCTTTTTGTTTTGCTGTTATTGCTGTCTTTCTCCTATTTGTGTCCCTATGACAGGACATGATGACACCTGTTACCGATTCACTTTCATGCAGTAATTCGTGTGGGAATACTATGATTATGACCATTGACAGTGGAACTGCTTTCGTGCTAGTAGCGTACTTTGTTTTGTTGTTTTTTCCTTTCTCCATCCGTCCGTCCTCTGCAGCAGACTTGGCCGACTCGCTGGTCTAGTTTTTCTCTTGCAGGGTATGACCTGTAATTCATGCTTCTTGACTCTTTCTCCGCCCAGTTTGGGTGAATCGTAGCAGGTGTGGCTGTCAGAAACAACAAGGGACTGGAAACAACCACATTGTGGAGAATGACTTAGCATGAAGCTTGGAGGGATGCTTTTTAAAGAAAGGAAAATGATACTAGAGGAAAACGGGCTCTGGCACTTAGAAATATGAAGATGTGTGGTTCCTTCACAGTATGTGTAATATTATATTTGTAATCTAACCCTGAGAAAACCCTCATGTATGCATGAACTGCGCTCAGCATCTGGACACGGATCATTGCTTTGCTGTTGGAGGGCAGGACTTCTTCAAACGATTATAAAACAGTCTTAGGGTTTGCTTTTACTTTGAAGACCTTATTGAAGCCTTTATCAGCACGGTTTGATATAAAGGTTCTGGTAGATTATATTTCTAATTTGTTTGCTGTTGACCACAATTTTAATGGCAGGATTCTTTAAATAATGTTCTGCAAACACACTGGTTCTCACACTGAGCCACAGGTAACACTAGTGATACTTTGGCTACCCTCAGTTGTCTTTAGAATAAATCTAAATCAATTAATTTCAAGGTAAATGTGGACAAATGCCACCAACTGCTTTGACAATCAGTTGATAAAGCAAATTGATTTTTACTTCCTCAGAAACATCTCAACAAAAAGTAATTCGAAGGTCACCCAGAACAATCTGAAAACCATAAAACTGGGAATCATCTGGGAACAACATCACAACCAAATTAACGATGTTCCAGCTCCTTTAAAAAAACGATAGGATTGAAGTATCTAAGCTTATATTTATTCTGTATTTGTCTCGCATAAATGTTCCAGATCCTCAAAACTTTAATACCACCATCTTCCTAAAATAATTGTCTAAATAATCTGTTTTTTTTTTTTTGTTGTTGTTTTTATCACAGTGGGGGTAATGTGATGGTTTGGGATGGCTTGGCTTCCTCCAGAACCTGAAAACTCCCTGTAATTTAATGGATGAATTGTTCTGCCGCAAACAGGAATGGCCTAGTCAAAGTATGGACCTTTGCCTTATGTTGAAATTAGTTTGATCCTGGACATTAAGTTTGACAAAAAAAGAGTCAAATACTGTTTTCAAGCACTTTGTCTGTGAGCAAGCTAATTGTTTTTGGTAGATCGAGGTAATAATGTATTTCGCGGTTTGCTTTTGTTTACCTTGAAACACCTTTGAAACATTTTCAAAAAGGCTTTAAAGTACTTTGTGCATGTGTGGGAGATATAAGGGGCAAATTGTCCAAAGTTTTTTGTTTTACTTAAACTAGCCCCAAGTTGCCAATGCAAGGCCGCCATATCGGATTGAATTTGGGAGTTTGGTGATAAACCTTCTAACTTTTAACCTTTAACTTTCAACTTCTGAGTAAATTAAGCGCCTAATACTCTGCACCTTTAAACCAATCATTTATTTATTTTGTTATTTAAGCTTTATTGGTACAGCTTGTCCCAGTGAGATTGAAGATCTCATTTACAAGAGAGAGCTCTTTCTTTTGTGCAGTGCCAATGTGTAGGAAAGTGTTTGTTGTTGTTTTCTTAAAGCTGAAAAAGTCCAGTTCTTGTTGGTGTTTAAACGGTCAGAATGGTGGCGCCTGAAAAATGTTTCAGAAAAAGCCTGATGAACAATGTCCTGGACTGGTGACCAATAGTTTGCGTTCCTCAATTTCTTTGGTCAAACGTCGGTGTTTATTCTAGGTGTGTCTAACTTTAAACAGCTACTGCTTTCCTGAATAAGCTCTTCGATAAGAGGAAGCTTACAACATAAATTATATTTGTTTGTTTTTGTTTGTTCCATGCTTTGCTACTGTTGAATCAGATTCATCGGCATTTTAACATCCCTCATATGGATGGACTCTTTATTTCATGTTTTTCATTCCTTTTTTTTTTCAGCTTAACTGTGGAAACAGAAGAAAAAGAAAACTTTCTCATGAGAAGGGTGAGTCATTCAAATTGGCTTAAAGCAACAATGAACTACTAATAATTCATGTTTCTTTTTTTTATTTTTGCACCTTTTTGCAGAGATTTTAGTTTAAATTTAAATAATATTGGAGTTTTCTCACTTTGAGTCTAGAACATATTTGTCTAATTGTTCAGCTCCCAGCTTGCTACCACAGGTCAGCTTTGCCCTTAGTTGTATTTTTCCCTTTCAGCTGTTCTGACTTGTGGTGTCACAGTCTGTCAAACCAGTTTCCTTCCCATGATTCTTTCTGCTGCAGCTTGTTTCACTCTCTGCTTACACTCCCTCTTCCTTGGCTCAGATAGTTTATCTGTTTAAAGTGTCACAAGTCAGGAAAATAAGTTTTACTCCTTTAAACACATTTTTTTTTTTAAAAGTGAATAGTTCAGAAAATATAATGACACCAATAACGGCAGTTATTGTTGAGACAGGTTATATAAGCATTGATTAATATCAACATGGATTTTTTTTTTTCATGTTTTTAAGTGAATGTCTCACCAGTTTACTTTCGGTGTTTATCTTTTTTCCCTGTGTTGCTCTGCTTCTCACAGTTTGTTTTTTTTTGTCTCTGTTTGCTGTTCTGGCTCTCAGCTCTGCAGAGAGTTTCTGTCCGTCGCCTTCTAATGGCTGGACAGGCAGTTTTCCTCCCCAAACGTCCAACTCTTCACCAGAGTCCTCTTCATACAGACCAGCAAGCGTGAGGTTGGTTTAAAAATAAAAAAAAAATCTTCATCAGAAACTCAACAACTTCCCGTAAAGATTCAGCGCCTCGGGTTTTTCCATGTGTATTCCGGGCCGGGTGGATGTGTCATCCGAAACATCTGAATTTTAGTCAGCTTTGTTCCACTTGATGGATTTTACTTTGCTCGACACTGAGCAAAGTGCTCGAGCAACATGTTGCAACATGCTGCAACATGCTGCAACATGTTGCAGCATGTTGAAACTGCTGCAACATGTTTCACTAGTTGCAGCAGTATTGAGGTATTCTGTTTTTGTGCTGGCATGTTTTTATTTACCTGGTGAGCCTTTTATCATCGCATGCCATCTAGACCCAGCCGGGCGCAGATGGATGAGACTGAAGGCCAGCGGGTGAAGCCTTTCGCTGATGAATCTGCGTTATTGGCTGAGCCAATCAACCCAGAAGGTCAGTTGGTAACAGATGAAGGTTAAGAGTTATGGAGCCTTTATGGAAATAGTTTATAATGCAAGACAAAGATGGGAAGAATTTAAAAAAGTGATTTCTGTATTGTTTTGATTTAATCAGAGAATTGTTAGTTTTAAATATCATGATGTGGCAAACGTAATGAAATATTTACCCTATAATAGATTGCAATTTAAAAATGTTATTAAATAGTTTTATCACCTTAACAAAACATGTAAATTGTCTCGCCTCATTCAGCTTCTGTTTTCTTTAGACATGAATTTGTGCTCTCTCAAGCTGAAAAATGGCATTGTCCTCTTTATTAAGAGATTTTATGACGGTGTGGATTTATATTCCTTCAAACCTAAAAAAAATAAAAATAAATGGTAACACTTTATTTGAAGGGGTGTGCATAAGACTGAGATGCCACCTTCATAAACATGTCATAACAACAGCCATGAACATGAAGGAGTCTTTATAAATGTCTGACTGTTATCATGAAGTGTCATTCGGTAATAATGACACCTTTAATGCAAAGTTTACACTTTTTATGCAACTTCTAGAGCAACTTTGCTTTAAAAGTGTCATTATTTACTGAATGACACTTCATGACAACTATTATAAACGTTCATAAAGACTCCTCCATGTCGTTATGACATGTTTATGACAGTGTTATGTCAGTCTTATGCACGCCCCGTCAATAAAGTGTTACCAAAAAAGTTTTACATTGTCCTTTAAAAAAATGTAGTTTTCTTCCCTTTTTTTTTCTTTGGCATAACTGTTCGTCATCAAGCTTAAAGAAACTGAATTTTGCTTTAAATTTCTGTAGAAATTTTGTGAATTTTATTTCAGGAGATAAACATTTATCTCCTGATAAAAGTCAAAGTTTTTTGTCAGTTTTTTTTTTCTTTTATGGAATTTTATTTTATTTTTTTAATAGATGCCAACTTGCAGAAGTTGTACATTCATAAGTTCTTTAAAACAACTGAAATCCCTGCTGCCTGAACAGAGTGTGTGAACTATCCCTGTCTGGGTCCTGTCGGTGTGTGTCAGCAGACTCCCATTATGCTGAGCTGCGAGCTGATCTGGAGAGCGACTCCCGCGGTCTGGAGGCGGAGTCCTGGAGCTCGGCTGTGGACCAGAACTACCTGATGTCTCTGAACAAAGAGGCTGTCAAAAGGCAGGACGTAATCTACGGTATGCTGAAAGAGACGTTGAAAACGTATGAACTGGGGTGTGTCTTACTCTTCCTGGAAAGGAGTCATCTGTCAAACTAACTGCCTCATTACATTACCCTAAAATCGTCTTGCATTTGTAAGAGTCGTGTTGTTCTAGACGATGTGTTTATATAGAAACATTTCTGCCTCCTCTACCCCAAGTTTCAGGCTAAATATTGAGCAAACATCAGCTGCTTAATGTCAAAACCCTTGTCAATTCCCTAGAGTTGATCCAGACTGAGATGAACCATGTGCGAACCTTGAAAATCCTCCTCCACATCTACATGTATGAGCTGAAGAAGTTCCAATCCATCATCAACCTGGAGAAGCTCTTCCCCAGCCTGGAGGTTCTGCTCAGCCTCCACTATGTCTTCCTCAAGTCCCTCAAATCCCGGAGAGATGAGAGTCGGGATGAGGACAATCCAAATAACTACTACATCACAGAGCTGGCGGATGTCCTCATCGATCAGGTAGGGCAAAGGAGCGGTCCTGAATAACCGTCATGGAAATTTCTTTAAGAAAATAACAAAATCTGTCAGGGAGTTTGGTCTATTAGCTGTGATTTGTATAAATATATTGTGTTTATTCTTTGTCTGCTTCATGCTGTTTCTACTCACCTACACATTTCCACCCTTATGTTTCTGTTCATGTGATGTTTATAAGATAAAAGTGCAGATGGTGCCGTGCGGGTGGGTTCGCTCCAGAATGCTGGAATAATTGCATACAATTCAGTCTTTTTATGTTTTATGTTGTTAATTTTTTACAAAAGTTAAAAACAACTAAAAATGCACTGACCAGATTTTTATGGTTGATTTACTCTCTGCTAGCTATCTCAGAACAGCCCAAGATTTCATATTTTTCTTTCTCTCCATGCGTCTTTCTTTCTGTTTTGCAGCTTATAAAATAATTTCTCACTGTAGGTTGTTCACAAACAAGACAGAAAACATGGCTCCTCCTTCCTGAACAGGACAATGACTAAATGTTACACTTGCATCTAACCTGATGAACAGATGATCATGCCGCCTTCAGCCATCTTTGTTACACCCAGAACGGGTGGAGGCTCTCAGTTCTGTTTGATATCTTGCCGCAGTGGGTTTGAGATGTGCCTTTAACACACCAACATGAGAACCTTTGTTGATTTTCTATGATCTGACATAAGGTCTTTGGGTTGTTGCCTTAAATTAATTCACAGTTGATGCTTTTTTTAAGCCAAATTTTTGAGTTTCCCATTTGTTAATCATGGGCCATGGTTAAATCTGAACATGTAGGGAACCTTTACAGGCTGTATGCACAATATTGGATTTTTGGTTGATATCCGATATGCTGATATACTAAAACTCATTTGGCTGATAACCAATAACAGTATTATCGATATTTTTTTCCTATACCTACTTACTGAAACTATATGGTTTCTCTACTGTGGAGTTAATATGCTGCATTATCTTTGTCATTTTAACCTTCTGCCAAATGCAAATACGGAAGCTAAAAATTATGTGACCCTTTCAACTTGTATTATGTTTAATGTCAAATTTATTCATAACATCTGCTCTCTCTAAGATAATGACAAGATTCAAACAGTGCAAACTGGTAAATCTTCATAAAACTAAACTCAAATTGATGAAAACCTTCAGTACTTATCAGCTTCTTATGACGCTGTGCTGCAGGCATCACTGACGCTGGTTTATCATGTAAAATCTACACCTTTTGTATTAGTGAATTATTTTGACGGAAAATTTTTCTGATATTAAATTTTACAACTGATATCGTCCGAATATCGTGCTTCCCTACTCTATATGAAAGCTGTGAAATCGATTGCATTTTGTTTTTGATCACAGTTTTCAGCTTTCGACAAAATAATGTAGTAATAATAGAAGCCTCTGGGTTTTTTCTGTAGATTTTCTGTAAAATACAAGCAAGTTTTCAAGTTTGTGACTTTGATATTTAACTGAATTTCTGACTTTGATCTAAAAGTCAAATGCTGAGAGCAGCTTAGTTCACTCAAAGATAAGCACATCCTCGTCTTTTGGTCATCTTGCCAGGGTTTTACCTGTGAATAAAACATTAAAACTGGCCTCATTTCTGAGCTTCATCACTAAGACGAAGAGCAAATCATAACATTTTGCTGGTAGACTTTACATTTCAAGTGGCTGTTTGTTCTGCCTACTGCAGACTGTGTGATTTGACTGAGTGGCAGGTGAAAATGTGTGAACTACGTTTTGTTCAGGCATAAATAAAATATGTTTCTGAGGGGTTTCTATGTGATATTTTGTTTTTTTTAATTTCCCATAAACCCAGAGATTAAGACGGAATCGGTAAGCTCTCGTTTTTGGTGTCAGTTTTCAGGTAATCTGGGAATACAGATGGCGACGGGTTACGGCGACTTTTGCAGCCATCACAGCGAAGCTGTCAGCTACTACAAGGAGCAAATGCAGAGCAACAAGACGCTGCAAATTTTGATTAGAGTGAGTATTTGACACTATATGCAGTCTTTATTTAAAAAACAAAGACCTGTCATCCAAACGGCTTCTTCAATATTAAAACTGTGATTTTATTATTTATTTCTGTCTGAAATGTAGCCGGTTTGTCAGTGGAGAGTCTGCAGAGGTTGAGCTGAATTTGGGAAAGAAAAATACAGATTTTAAACAACTTATATTAAGCATAGACTTAACCAAAATACATCTATGATGTTTAAATTCAGCAAAGTCTTCACCAATCAACAAGCGTATGGAGATGTTGGCAAGTTTAAGTAATAATAAATACTGTATAAGATATTACATTTTATGAAGTTGGTTTAAAAACAAAACACTTTTTGCTGTTTACAGAAAATCGATCAGCTGCCTCTGGCGCGAAGATTAACGATTCCTGAATGTTTCTTGCTGGTGACTCAACGCATCACAAAATATCCGGTTCTGTTGGAGCGAATCATCCAGAACACAGACGGTAAAGGATCCCTCCCCGATCCATTTATCTGCTACCTTCTTTCAGTTCTGGTAAAAACCAGAGTTTCACTGAGAAATGTAAACAGGAAATGGTCAAAATTCTGCTCCATCGGACCTTTGCATGCATTGTTTTATAGATCCAATACTTGGAAATTATACTTATACGTTCTCATTTCAAAGTCGGCATTTCAACATGGCGACGCACATAAACATTGTTTGGAATACCTCTTATAATCGTTTTAACCTTTACTTTCTGTAAGCAAACACCACCTTTAATGGTGTTCAGTTTAGAGTTGCAGGCGCTACTCTTACATGTGTGTCTTGTAAAATAAACATGTTTCCACCATAACTTACTGCTGTCTAACCAAGAAGCTTCCTAACAAGTCGCAACTGGAGGTAGTCGGAGTTACTCCCAGTTTTTTGGTGGGAAATCTGACTTCGTAGGGCGTTCCAGTTGATTTTTTTTCCAACTGGGAAGTCAGAATTTCCCTGTTCTGAATGTAACTTGAATGCAGCGCAAGCATTGCCAGGTCTCACTAACAACACTCTTGGGTGTAGATGCTGTTACAGAGTGATACATGCTCAAAATTAGACATTACCAGTATTGGCAAGGTGCTTAAAATGAAGTCATGATAACCACAGAGGTTGAAGGGAACTGTCTAATTTAATGACCACCTGTGGCCGGAAAGCCTAAGAAAACTATTTTCACTTCTGTTTCACTTATATTCCTTCAGTTTAGCCCCTAAAGAGAAGTCAGAATTGGCCAAATCCTGGTATTTGTCTTTTCAAGCATCAAAAATTCCAGCGATAAGAAATTAACCACACAATTCTTATTGGTGCTTCGGTTTTGAAAATATTTTTTTCTCTTAATCGGTTGGTAATTTATTTTGTACTGCTTCTCACAGCTGACACACATGAGCACAGGCAGCTGGAGAAAGCTCTGGAGCTGATCAAGCACACCATCTCCCAGGTGAACACCCAGCTGAGTGAATGTGGGAAGACCGCTCGCCTCAGAGAGATCATCAATCGACTGGAGCAAAAGACTCAGGCCAAGCTGAAAGATGGCCGCTGGTTCTGGAGAGACGACCTGAGGCACGGCAACAGGACGCTGGTGCATGAAGGACCCCTGACCTGGAAGTTGTCCGGTAAACAAAAAGGTTTGTGATGGACTCTGGCCTCCGTCTTAGAAGTAAAAGACGTGTGTTTGTATGAAAAGGTGTTTATTTTAAACTTTCAGTTTACTGGTCAGTATGCTGCTGTCTATGACCAGGTACAATGTTTGTTTTTCTGCTAGATAACATTCAAATGAGTGTGTAAAATGTAAAGAATTCATTCCTGAAACTTGTCTCCAATTGCAGCACTGTCTGTGTCTTTTTAAATTTCCATGCTGTTCTCTTTTCCCCTGCAGAAATTCATGCTGTGCTGCTGTCAGATATGCTGCTTCTGCTACAGGAAAAAGATCAGAAGCTTGTATTTGCTGCCATGGTGAGTCCAAAACTATTCACAGAAAGCAAAAATATCACAACTATCTGTCATCCTAAGATTGCCTATCTGAGGCAATCTTAGGAATTGCTTAGTAAATTAGCGCTGTAGAATTAGCAGACATCCAGAAAAATTAAAGTTTTAACGTTAGCAAAAATGCTAAAGCATTAAACCAAAAAGAAAAATGTCGGTGGATTGTCAGAGTTGTGCTCACCACTGGTAAAATGAAAAACAAGAATGAAGGAATCTATAAGGGGTCAAATACTTTTTCACTGCACATTAAAACCTTAATTTGAGCAGATGTAAAGTCACAATGACAGCATTTTTAAAAACCAAGCTGGAGTCTATTAAATCTGTGCCACATGTCGGATCTGAGTTGTTATAAAGAAGGCTACATCCCAATGCAAACAGAGGACATTATCGTCGTCTCTTGCAGGATAGCAAACCGCCAGTCATCTACCTGCAGGGAGTGATTGTGAGGGTAGTGGCCATGGAGGAAAGAGCCATGTACGTCATCTGTGCGTGTCCCTCCGGCTCGCCAGAAATGTACGAGCTCTACACGAGCTCCAAAGAGGAGTGCAAAACCTGGATGGACCTCATACACGACATGGCAGAAAGGTGAGAGGGACAGAAGTAGATCTTAAGATGCTGAATTGTTAAAGAATAATTAATAAATAGAATATAACTTCATCAGATAAAAGTTAAAGCATCTCTGTTTGGAAAGATGACTATTGCTTCTTTGTCGCTTTGAAATAAAGTCTATCGGTGAAATGTTTGTGTTTCAGTTGCAGAGACAATGAAGTGCACAAAGAAATGGTTACTAAACTGCAGCAGTATCAAGGTAATACCCCTGAATTTAGATTACACAGATCCTACCTGTAACCCAAATACCTGGTTAACTTTGGCAAAGAATATTAAAATGGTAAATATCTGAAAAAAAAAAAATCCAAGCAGTTTTTCTATTTTTGCTTTTTACCTAAATAGTAAGAAATCTGTATTACTTTGTGTTTACATTTGGTGAATTAAAGATGGATCTGTTTGGCTCTACTTTTCAGATAAGTTGCAGAAAAGAGACGAGCAGATAAAGAAAAGTCTGGAAAAGAAACAGGAAATTTTTGCTGAACTTTATCATGACGTGTTGGGTCAGAAAAGCCTTTACAACGGGCTGCTGCTGCGAGGCGATGCTTCTGACCTCCAGCAGGGGGAGCCCTTGTTGAATGGGGCCATCGAAGAGGGTAAGACCAGAAAAACTACAGTTAAAGTCGTCTCTTCAAGTAGAGAGATTAAATAATGTTTGTTTGTTGGTTTTTCTTTTGTCTGCAGTGGAAAAGTTACAGAACCTGCTCTTTATGATGATTAAACATCCAGCCGCTCCTGAGGGGGAAATTGAGACACAGCAAAGTGTCAGGAGGGCACAGACCTTCAAAGGCTCTCTGGATAATCTGATAGCTAAAAGCATGAAATGTAAGTTTGTTTTTAGTAAGGATAGACCTTCTCACTTGAAGCTAGATGTTTATTATAATCTATAATTTTTTTCTAAGTTTAGATCAGATTGAAATGTTTATGCTTTTTGCCAAAATTCAGGACATGTCTCTGTTTTTGATGTCACATCTCATTTATTTTTATGTTTCTATGATGTTAAAGCCTGAAATATGTCCACCAGTTATAATGCCACGATGTTACAATCTGGGTTTTAATAAATTACATAAAGATTTTAGTTTGTAAACTTCTGAAAATAAAATATTATTTAAAACATCTTCACACCTTTCTGTGGCACTTAGCAAATGCAAATAATGTATTTAATATTTCTGACCTAAAACAGAAAAAATTGGACATATGTGCTGAAACACACCTTGAAAATGTGCATTTAGATACTTTATCATACCGCTGACTTCTTCTTTTGAGGATTTTCTTATTTCTGTCATTGCTCCGCATCCCAAAGTAGCTCTGGCTGGAGAAATTAAATCATTGACTGATTTATTCCTTAAGATCTCTCTCTCTCTCTCTCTCTCTCTTAAGATCTCAAAAATCACAGGAGTTTTTCTTTTTCAATTGATTATTTTGTTGTAACGTTTTGTCAGACGAAGATGCAGCTGAGAAGGTGCCACGCAGATACAGCAGCTGTGACCTTCTGCTCAAGAACATGTCGATCTCTGAAGACCTGGGGAAGTCTGTAAGTGGGACGCATGTAAAAGATCTAAACTGGACGTTCAGTTTTTATACATTTCCTCTGTTCTGTTCCAGACTGATGATGATGATGATGATGATGATGATGATGAAAGTGGATCCCACCCAAAGCTGCTCTGTGGTTCAGCCTTCGGTGGATTCCCTGGGACAGCGGTAACTCCACCATGATGGCAATAATAAACTGTATTTAAAAAGGGACGGTGTACGGCTCAAATATAAATGTCCCCTTTAATGTTGACAGGTTACAAAATACTATAATAGAATGAAACACACACACACACCATCTGATCCATTTTTAACACATTTTCCAAATTGGATTTCACAAACATGCCTTGCAATTGTTGCCATACCTTTTAAAGTTTCTCTTTTTAGTATTTTTACTGGCAGTTTAATGTGAAAAACCAACAAAAAGTTTTGGAAAATTATAAAGTGAAAGAACATATATATTTACATCTGTTTTCTTTTACAAATAATAAAAGTAAAAGTCCTGTCCATCTGCTTCCACTTTGTGGAAAATATTGTATCGAAATTACAGATTTCATATTAAAGGAAGAGCTTCTTTGAACATTAAGTTTCAAATATTAAGGTTTCTCTCTCTCTCGACGTCCCACAGGAGTTAATAAATTTGCTTAAAGTGACAAAAAAAGAAATCATTTTTTTGTAAATATAGATATTTTAATGTAATTATTTTATTGAATTTCCCCAACAAAATGACACTAAAAGTACAAGTAATATTTATTAAACCTATTTTTTTTGTCTTTAGGTTGGAAAGTTTTTGTTTTGTTTTTTTTACATCGGTTTTCATAATATTACTCTTTTTGTAAAGGTTTCATGTTTTTTTTTTATTTATTTTTAAACCTAAAATTTGAAATAAAATGGCAGTTCTACAAAATTGACAACAAACTTATTATAATAGATATTTATCAATTTATTTCTTCAAATCATACTACGATCCTCTTGCTTATTTCTCTGATTCCACTGGTTACGCTTGTTTTTGTTTTTCTTTTTCTCGTTGGTTTTTAAGAGAAATCTGAATAAAAGAGCAAAGTACAAAACTTTGCCACACATGCATCACTACAATTTCACTTCACAACTTTGTGTTAATCTGTCACATAGAGTGGCAATAGAAGTAGGATTGTGAAGAGTTTAGGAGATGTGACTGCGTTCATAAACAAAAGTCTCACTGCTGCTTTGCAGGTGCTCGATAGCGTTCAGTCGCTGGCGCAGAAGCTCTGCAGCTTACAGGCAAGTCGAACCTCACAAGGCCACAAATGGAATCATGTACAGTTTAAAAACGTCGTTATATTTCTATTGCAAATAAAATATCAGCGCTTTGATTCGTGCAGGCCGTCATCGCCCAGCAGGACAGCAGGATCGAACTGCAGAATCTCTCCCAGTCAAAGAGCAAGCTGCCCGTCCGCAGCAACACCAACGCGCTGCTTGAGAAGGAGAAAGAGCGCAACTTGGAGAAGCAGAGAGCAGAGCTGGCTAAGCTGCACAAGCAGCAGAACCAGCATCGAGCAGAGCAGCAGCGCTGGGAGAAAGAGAGACAGAAGCAGCAGTTGCTGATGGAAAGTCAGAACGCCAAGATGCAGCAGCGGGAGGAGGAGTGCAGGAAGAAGGAGGAGGAACTAAAAGAAAAAGAGCTGAACCTGAAGCAGAGTCAGGAGACGTACCAACAGGACCTGGAGAATCTGAGGGAGACCACACAGAAACTGGACAGGGAGAGGGAGATGATTGAACGGGAAAAGGAACGTTTGGAAAAGATGAAGGCAAAGCTTGTCAACCATTATGACGATCCGACATGGGTGAGAATAAAAGAGAAAATCACATCCATCATTCATCTCATGTAAATATACTCAAGATTTGTACTCAAGTAAAAGTATCACTACTTCAACATATTTTTACTCAAGTAAAAGTTAAGAGTATCCATCCAAGAAATGACTCAAGTAAGAGTAAAAAGTATTTGGTAAGAAGGCGACTCAAGTACTGAGTAACTGATCAAATCATTTCATATTTAAGAGTTACAACGTCAGACAGATCAAAATATAAAGTTATTTGGGAATGTTGGTATGAAAATAATTTATATAAATGACATAATTACAAAATGACAAAATCAGGCAAAAGAAATACATTTCCCAATCAATTTCTTTTGATGTAAATCTTTAAAACCGGCTGTCAGTGTGTTTAAGTCTGGAGAATCTTTTTCTTCATTCAGTGAAGTTTCTCTCAGTGTCCAGAAATTTTACTCAAGAGTGGTGAAACTTCATAATACAATTATTGAAGTAAAGGTAAAAAGTACACCGCAGTAAAAATACTCCTCAAAGTACACTTTTTCCCAAACGTTACTCAAGTAAATGTAACTAGTTACTACTCAACTCTGGTTGTGTTCTTCATGATTTTAACATCTTCCTCACATTGTCCTTTCTTTTCCCAGTCTCCGGCGCTCTCCACTGCCCCATCATTCAGGAGCAGCATAGTAAACGGAGCAGGGACTCTGACCCCAGTTCCCAATCCACTGGTCTTTACTAGTAACTCTCCTGACCCGGCAGAATCTCCTCCGCGGGTTCCTCCCCGGAGCACCAGCATCAGAATGAGCAGGCAGATGCTGCCGGTTCAGTTGATGAGCACCACCAACCAGGTGCAGACCCCTGTGGAGGTGCAGCAGAAGATTCCCAGGAAGCTGGCGGCCGAACCCAAAAAGAAGGAGAAAACCAAGTCAAAGCGCTCCCACAAGAGAGCCCACAGTGCAGGTCAGAAACCCCAAATTATTCATTTGGGTTAGTCGTTTTAAATGTTTATTGTGTGTTATTAGCAGTCTATAAGCTGCAGATACTTTCTGTCTATTGAACAACATCATTCTTGTTTGTTTTCTTCCTCCAGCCAATATAGATGTAACCCAGGTGATCCCGATCCGGGTGATGGGGAAAGACAGTGGCAGTCTTAAAGCCCAAATGAGCGCAAGTCCAAAAAGAGTCTTAAGTGCAGGTATGAACCTAGAGAAACTTTTCCAAAATGTTAGAAATTTTTCCAAAAATATCAGCTTTGCCACAACTTCTGATGTCATTTTTGTAGATTTTCTCTAACATTAATATCATTTTTTTTAGTTCTTTGTTATCCGATTACCTTCATGGATGCACCAATCCACTTTTTTCACTTTCAATACCGATACAGATATCTGAAGTTTACATCGGCCGATACGATCCGATACAGAAAAACAGTTCTGAACTGACTTAAAACATACACAGACACAAATGTACTGAATTACAAATTTGCTTGGTAACGCTGCACTCGAGAGCTTTATCTTACTTTGCCAAAAGTACAAACGTAATGATGCACAGTTTTATAAATTCTGTCATAAATAAATCTAATATCCTGCCTTTAAAGGAGATGCCACCTTGTTGACTTTAAGTAGCTTTAACAATATAATTTATTGTAATGAAGTATAAATCACCAGTTTAACTTGAGCAGTAACTACATTAGTGGATGTAATTTCATGTTTTGTATGCTGCAGGGAAGTATTTTAAAGCTTTTCTCCCCTCCTCCCTCAGACACCTTCAGGACACCAGGATCTGGTGACCTGAAGCCCAGATCCTGGTCACCACCTTCAGGATCTGGTCGGCTTCCCAGAACGGCTTCCCAGAACGTGAAGCCGTCTCAGTCGTTCATCGCACCGAAGTGGAACAACGTTGGTTCTCTTCCACCGCGGCCTCCTCCCTTCCCGACAGACATAAATACGACAGAACAAGAAAAGGTTATCGTTGTTTAACGGAGGAGTTTGGATGTGAGCAGCAGGAAGAGATTTTTAATCCAGATGAGAAATCCTCGAAGAGTTGCACTTTTGCCAAAAAAAAAAAAAAAATCCAAAAAGTTTGGCTTTTTGTAATTATGAAAAATATATATATTTTAAATGATTATTTTAATACACAAAGACTCTGACCCAAAGTTTATTTTTATTTTAATTAAACTCTTAAGCTTTAACTTTAACAGCTGTAATAATGTGTGTACAACTTTGGTTCAACAAGTTTACGTCTGTAAATACAAAGATCTTCAGGCTTCTGCTTCTCAGTTTGTGTACAAATTGGTCCGACTTGTTCTTGAAAATGAACAATCCATGTAGATGGAAGCAGTTTGTGCAGACTGAGTTTTCACACAGTATTGACAGATATTTAAAGTTTCCGACAAACGCGTTTGAGTTCATAACAATTCTGCCTCTGACAGCCTGATCATGTTTTGGTATCATCATGTTGTTCCTGGTTGAAACTTTGTAAACATGAACTGGTTTTGTGTAAAAATGGTCAAACGTCAACTGAACGGCATGCAATTAAAACATTTTAAATTAAGAACTCAAATCAATGTGAAGCTGCTTTCATGATGCATTATTTTGATATTTTATGCACCTTTTCGTCTTCCACAATGAGGCCAAGCTCACATTTTCCTTTTTCATTTTATTTAAACCGTCAGAAGTGCAGGGAAATCAAAAGTAGACTTTATGCGTTACCGTTATTGAACTTTTATGTAATTTAATGGAACACTTGTGGTTGTATTATATTATTTATTCAATAATCATCCATTCATCCAGTGATTATTCAACAGTTTTTTCTTCTATCATCCCTTTATTCTTGCATACATTCAATTCAAGAATATTTTATTGATCCAAAAGAGAAATTAAATGTCGTAACCTATTAATTCAAATTATTCAAGTTATTGATGGCTGTTGGTGGGTAAGATATTTTGTAGCAGTCTGCATTACAGCAAATTTGAAGAAGCCTCTGACTGAAGACACTGTTTTCCCAACATCCTATTTATGCTGCGTTCACACCAAACGCAATTTGAGGGGCGTCTAATTTACGTTCAAAGTCTGCGTGGATTCACGTCGAAGGCGGTTGCAGTGCGTTTCGAGCATCTAATGATTTGAACCGTTTTAAGTGTCGGGTGTGTCCGACGCTCCACATAAACGTTGAATGTAAACCAGAAGCACCTGATGCTCAAAACACGTTTGAGCAATGGTGAACGCACCATTGCTCATTATTCCTCTATATTTCCTCTATATTTCACAGTTATCCATCTATTTATTCTTACTAATCAAACCCTCCATTTGTTGCTCCGTCAGCTGTTCCTCTGTCAGTTTGTTCTTTTGCAGATTCTGCATTCAAAGCCTGAATTGTTGCCCAGTTGGAAGAAGGTGCTGGACATCAGCGCTTGGAGAACCTGTAAAGGTAAAATGGTTTAAAAATCCCACAGCTGAAATATTTATACTTGTGTTGGCGGAGTGTGCACTCTGTGAAGGAGTGTGCCAGTGAATCAGACAAGCGATCCAGAGTAAATAGATACTCCCTCTGTTCTCTTTGAGGAACTGCTGAAGTCACAAGAGACTCATTGTCAGGCTGCTGTCCATCTCTGCACATGAAAAGACTCATTCAGCCCCAGAAACCACAGGCGTCTAAATCCACACAGCATAAATATGTTCATTCTGTCACGTCAGCATAAATATGTTCATTCTGTCACGTTACCACCAAATAATAAAAATAATTGATGTATTTTATTGGGATTTTATGCGATCGGTCCAGCTGAATAGAGAAAATGAAGCATGGTTTTACATTTTCAATATGATTCTGAAGAGTCTAAGGTTGCCTTCACACTGCAGCCCAAAGTGACCCAATTCTTTCTTCTTTTTTTTTTTGTGGCCTTAATGTGATCTGTATCTGATCTTTTCATGACAGTCTGCACAATACGGGTTGGATTTTTTGCGAAAGCGACCCAGGCCCGATTCTTATCTTTTCAAATGTGTCCCGAATCTGATCGGCCAAGTCACGTTCATCCGACCTGAACGTCATTAATACTCGACAAACGTCACTATTCTGCGTCCTGATACGCGCAAGCGGAAAGAAGAACAACAACCATGGCGGACGATAGCGAGGACTACGTTACTAAAGTGCTGGCTCCGGTCGGACAACAATTTCAGAATTGTAAGTTATGCTCCACCGTTAGCATCCACTTTGCTAACACTGAGCACTACTTTTTATGGCGGTTGGCAAAACACTGAGCACGCCCTCTATGTGTGACGTTATTGCGCCCTTTACTGCGCATGCAGGACACTTTCAGTTCGTTTGCAGTTCACACTGGAGAACACATACAGGTCACATTTATTTGGAAGTGTGAATGGCCACGGCAAAAAAAAAAAAAAAATCCTATTTGACCGAATAAATTGAAATTGGGTCACTCCAGGCTGCAGTGTGAACATAATTTACCTCTGTGGGATTTCATCTCTGTATAAATCCAAAGATTAAAGATCAAGGAACCTGATCTTTTTAGGTTATACAACAGAATCTTGCGTTTAATCACCTTATAAAAACTATTTAATCAATCAAAACTGGAAAGATTAAGACACAACTGCAATCATACCAACAGCTAATAAAATCACAATGTACCTAAACTATCAGGTTGGGATAAAGATGGCTCTAATTATTCACTGCAGCGACTTTAATTCGAACATGGTGACTCTGGAGGAGCTGCAGAGATCCACAGCTCAGATGGAAGATTTGTGTCAACGGGATGTTATTCATTTTGTCCAGAGATCACGTATTGATGTGCTGGAGTGGTCCAGTCAAAGTCCAACTGAGAAGCTGCTGGAGACACACGTCCAAAAATTTGCAGTCAAATGTGTTTCTGACCCAAACAAATGCATTGGCACATTTACAGACTTTTACTTGTAAAGGATTTTCTTTCTGAAACATTTATTGTTGTAGTCTATATAAACTCCCAACAATATACAATAATTTTTGAGGTAACATGACAATTTAAAATGTCCTTTTTGAAGGCAATATACAGATACTGACAACATTAATGTAGGAAAACAAAGAAACAAACATTAAATACATTTTTTTTATTATAATTATCGCTCGGAAGCATTAAAAACCACTTGGTGACAACAGAAAGTATACTGGTGATTCATGTCCTGTAAATCTGACATCTCAGCTGCCCACATGAAATATATTTTCACCTCCACACAACTCAGCCTCACACACCGACACACACACTTGGTGGTTATTCTGTGATTAACCAGCTTATCCTCTCTGACTGCTGAGATCTGCCGTTTGTTACGACCTCAGGTCAGGAGTAGGGGGAACACTGAACACGTTTCACTATTAGTTTCCACATCCAAAAATCCTTTATCATAATAGCTAAAAACATACATGAGCAAAAAAAAAAAAAAAAGTGCAAATGCATGAAATGAGTTTTAACACAGCTGGTCACTCCTGTCCAATAAACTGCAGCACGTTTAGAGTCCAGTATTGTTTTCATAAAGCAGTTTTTCCATGAGACACATTCCTCTGCGCCACCAACACAATAAGGCCAAATCTTAAGACATGAAAAAACTGCAGCAGTCAGTGAGCGACATTTTGTACCGTCCTATGATAGTTTGATAGAAAATGTACAATTAAAAACCATAGCATGCAAAATAAAACGTTACAAAATATGATAAAAAGGAAAAAAAAATAAAAGTTTTAAGAAATATATGTAAAAAAAACAACAAAACAAAACTGTTAACTCTGGGTTCAGTTTTAAAGGGTTTGTCGTTACTGCAGTTTATAATGCAACAGGAAACAATCAAGTTTCAGAACCAGCAACCTTTCAAAACGGAAACATCAGCTCTGTCTTCATTAGGACATCTTTTTTTAACAACACATTGATTAGACCAGTAAGGCCCAGTTAAACCTGTTTGCAGTACAGAAAAGCCATTTGGGTTCTTCTTGAGTTTGGCGATGGTGTCGGTTTAAGAGACACCCAAACATTCAGAGTTGATCTTTACAGCCACACTTCATCTGTTAGGGGCATTTTACAGAAATTAGAGACGACAGCGACAGGAGATTATTTACAAGATTCTTTTTTCTTTAAAACATAAAATAAAAAAATCCGTTTACAGATTTAAATTTTCACAGTTGAGAAGCTGAGATTTATTTTCTTATTTCATCAAATTATCCAAGTTTGGAGATGTTCACGTGAACATCTGCAAACTATTCCCCGTCGAAACACACATATGTTGAATCCATGATTTCCAAGTTGACTGTAAGCTGCTGCTAATGTCGCCGATCTTTTAGCATCAATAAGAGAGAAAACGCTTTGATCAGAGTGAGCTGAGTTTACATTAGAATTTTCTTTCATTACAGATGTGGACAAAACCGCTAAAATAAACTAAAATGAACTTGTATTGCATATGTATGATCTAGTCTAGATTTAATTTTTTATAAATCCAACCTTTAATTGAAGTGCATTTTTTTTTAGTGGAGAAAAAAAATAAATAATTGTTGGTCTTGATCTTGGTGATTTGTATGGAAACAAATCTTGTGACATTTCAGAAGCTTATGGAAACAAAGCCACAGGAAATACGAGTTATAATCAAAAGTAAAAATGAAATATTGTTAAGCACGGTGGAGAATCTGTGATGCTCTGGGCTTTTTTTCTCCTGCAAAAATCCTGGGAAGCTTGTTGACATTTTCTATTAAAATTTGTTAAACTGGAAAAAAAAAAAATCTCCACCATTGTCATCAACAGTTTCAAGGATAATTTTGGTAAAAAATTATTCATTTTTCTCATCCATGCTGCTGCAATAAAAGCTGAACTTATTTTAAGGTGTTTTTTTCACACATCTTTACCAGCAGTTTAAACAAATCTTCACTTTTCTCTGTCTCAATACATTTGAACCGAACAGTTCTTCCCTTTTTGTATCAAGAGAACCTTGGATCTCCACTGAGAAACCCCAGGAAAAAACAACAAATCAATATTTAGTGCAGCTAAAAATGTACTAGTTGCTGATTTTCTCGTCGCTCGTCTCCAGCGTCGAGGGCGTTTCCTCGGCATCGGGCGTTTCCTCGGCGTCGGGCGTTTCCTCGGCGTCGGGCGTCTCTTCGCTCTCGACGGTGGATTCCGGGGTTTGCTGCTCCGCTTTGGACGGGAGTCCCTCCATCTGCGGCTCGGCGGTCATTGTGGGGTTGATCGGTGCGAGGACTATGGGAGGCTAGAGGGGGACAGAAAAGAAAATGTGTGTAAAAGAAGGCATCTGAAAAGTTATTAGACAAAAAAAAAATTATGCAATGAGAACAGATACAGAGGACCTGAAGGTAAACAGAAAAACATTCACAGTAATCCCTCTGGCACAATAAAATGCCAAATTTCTGGAGCTCTTCTGAGGTTAAACTGTAGTCAGAGGCATTGCTGTTGACTGAAAAGCAGAAATCCCACGGAGATCATGAGTTTCACTGAGATAAACATGCCAGGTTATTTCAGGATCATGATCTGCTGCATGATCACTCGCTTCAACAGAAAGTAAAGGCTCAGCTGCTGAGAAAAATCAACACAACAGGAAGGGACTTTAGGTAAGGTAAGCATGATTTAATTAAAAGTAAAGAGCCAAGCCCAGATACCTGCAGTGACATTCACAGACAGCTGACTACAGCACACCCACAGTCAGTTAAAGGCCAGGGGAGGGACAGCGAAACAGAAAGATGACGTTGGAGTGGCTGGTGTTACTCAACTTGAAATTCTACTTCACTCTGCATGGCTTTTCTTTTTTAAAGTGGAATGTTTTTTGGTTGTCGCTTTTTTTTTTTTAATTGTCTTTTGTCGCTCTCTCTCTTTAATTAGTCTTTTTGTTCTTCCGCAGTAGGCAGTCATATCAAACTGGTATTCACCACAAATCCACTTCCAGTCCAGAACTGGCGCAGCTCCCTGCGCCACAGCGCCACGGCGAGGCTGGTGAGCAGCGTGCAAGGCACCAGGTAGAGCAGCGCCGGCTGGCCCATCTGCATCAGGGCCAGAGCCACGAACGTGATCAGCAGGCCGATGCCGTACGCTGACGGGAGAGGAGAGAAAAATCTGGCTTTTAGTAACGGTTCTGTACAGACGCTGTGGAGAAAAACGGCTCAAAACCAAAATAATCGTTCTTTACAGGGTTTCCAGCAGTAAAGCTCAAGAAATCTCCAAGCATTTTCAAGGTAACTTTTCCAGCATCATGCAATGGAGATGAAAACAAAACATTTATTACTGTTATTAATAATGTTTTGTGTGCATAAGACTAACATGACCAAGTCATGAACATGAAGGAGTCTTTGTGAATGTTTATGACGGTCAGGAAGTGACGTTCGGTAAATAATGACACTTTTAACGCAACTTTGCTTTAAAGGGTTTAAAACAGTCAAACATTTATAAAGACTCCTTCATGTTAACTAATCAAGTTTATTTGTACAACACATTTCACCAAAAAGGCATCTCAAAGTGCTTCACATCATAAAAGTACAAAGTCAGCAACTGAAACTTTACATTTTGTCATTGTTACACATCAGATTATTGATTAATGTTTCATTGATTGTTTCAAAAGCAACTCTGGACGGCTGGGATTTTAGTCTAGCTGTAAAAGCTCTCAGTGTTTCAGCTGTTTTGCAGCTTTCTGGAAGTTTATTCCAAATTTGTGGTGCATAGAAGCTGAATCCATTGATGGCGTCATGTCAGCCTTATGCACGTCAAATAAAGTATTACTTATACAGCAGGGACGAGGTAGACTGTATGCGAGAGGTAGGTCTCTCTCACATACCTTACATCTGACTGGACTGAAAATAAAACCCTAAATTAACAAAAAATGTATAAAATATAAGAATCTTTATTTCAATTACACAGATTAATAAATCATTGAGTCATTAGGAATAGAAAATATTTATTATGTTGGAACAATCCTAGTAAATTATGACCAAACTGAATGTTTAAACACATTAAACAAATAAAGTTACAGAAAAAAAATCCCTGAAAATATTATTGCTATGTTTTCTTGCATTTAGCAAATAGAGATAATTTTGGTAATTCTAACTAACCTAAAATAAGAAAAGATTTATCTGATTTACCTTCAGACTGAGAAATGTGTCTTTTTATTATGTCAACTGAAAATAATGTTTTCCCAAATTTAGGCTTTTAATCAAACATTAGATTGTACTTCATTATTAAACTGTGCAGGTTGAATATCAGGCACTTTCCAAACTTTAACACACAAATGAAATTAAAGCATTTTAAATCACCATACGATCCCTGGATAACAACGTCATAACTATGCTGTTTCTTTGTTTTGTGTCGATCTCATTAAATCCCATTAAGATGCTTTAAACTTTGTGGTTGTCGTGTGAGAAAATTAAAAGAATGTGGATCTGAACAAAACGGAAATGTAGTAGGTTTAGGTCTGCGTTCATTTCATCCTAATATCTTATTGCAGACTATGAAATAAATGTTTTTTCTTTACCATCCCATCATAATCCAAGCAGACGAACTTACCAATGGTACAGGCCACAAAGTAGATCCTGGAGGACTGGGTTAAAATGTCAAATCTGTGACAGTACGCCACCAGGAGACCTGAGAGGGGAACAGAAGAGCCGTCTCCACGTCAGGTTGAAGCTAACCAACAAAACGTGAGCAAAAACATTTTAAAAATGTCACCTGGCACCAAGATATCCCCAAAGCCCAGGAGGGAGAAGGGCCGGTCACAAAGAGCCAGAGGAGAGAAGTTTAACCTGGGCACTTTGAGCACCATGGGCAGCTGAAGACACAAACAGAGTCAGTGTTCGCTTCGCCGCTGAAACCCAGAAGAGCAGCATCATCAGAGCGCTCACCTTTTCATGAGGAGCGGAGTCCGAGGGGCCAGCCGCGACCTCCACCATTATGCTCTCCCCGTTCTGTGAAAAACAACGCACAGGAGGACAATCAGACAGAAAACTACGACTCGGTTTGTTTTCACTCCAGCCGAGAGTCACCGTACCTTCGTGAAATGGGGCGTAATAAATACGAAGAAAACGTCGTAAACAAACAGAACCGACAGCAGTAAAGTGCAAGCCTGCCGGAGAGAAAGAAACGGGTTAAATTTATGACTTTATTCAGGCGGCTGAGCCGTTGTGAACGGTTCCGATCCGTCACCTTGAACGTGGGCAGCCGGACAGTTTTGAGCATGTAGAGACAGAAGGTGATGCCCAGCGTGTCCTGCAGCACCCAGGCCCACCTGGAGGGCACAGCAGAGAGGAGCCGCCATCAGCCCGCGGCGCCAAAACAAACAACAACACAGCCGACCGACGTGTCTCCACTTTATTAAGAATTTATTAGAAAAGCAGAAACTCTGGTTTTTCTAGGGCTGGGTGATAAATCGGTAAAACTGATTTGTTGAATTTTGGTTTTATTGAAAATGTGGATTTTTTTCCCTCAATCATTAAAAGTCCTTGTGTTTCCATAATTCATAATGATGTCAGCCCGCTTATGGCCCGCCATTTTGTTTGACAAGCGTGTTTTACAGCTTCTATTTCTTGACTTTGAAAGCATTAGTGCAAGGTTATGATTTTTGTATTTTTTTTAATTGCCAGAATAAGTTCATAATATTATGAAAACTAACATGAAAAACAGAAAAATTAAATTGAGAAATTTTGCAATGCAAAAACACCAAATCTTACCATTTATACTTCTAGAGCAAATATTTTCTCACGCTTAAAATAAGACAAAACTAAATTACAAGTTACTTTTCAGCAAGATATAGAAGAATATTTTAAATAATTTCTTAATCTTGATGAAAAATCTCTAGTTTCACTGGCAGATTTTTTTCACTTATAACAGAAAAATGTCTTGCTATAAGTGATAAACTGCCAACTTTTCACCAATATTAAGGAATTATTTATTTAGAACATTCTTCTATATCTTGCTTCAAAATTACTTGTAAGTTAGTATATTTCAACTAAGACTTAATTAAAATATTTGCACTAGAAACTAGACTAAAAAGTACTTGGTAAAATTGTGTTTTTGCAGTGTGCATAAGTTTTACAAATAATACTGCATACTCAATAGAAATACTAAATCTTTTAATATATCAGCATGAAAATATTATCAGTAACAGGAATTTGTATTTGAAACAGTTATAAAGAACCAGACAAACTGAGCTGGTAATTTGAGATCGTGGTAATTAAGCTTTTTTTTTTTCTCATTAAAGCAACATTTTTTTTTTCTATTAATTTGAATATTTTTCTGGTAAAATTGCATTTTTATTCTGCTATTATGAGTAGATTATCGTAGTTGAACATCTATAATCTGTCCCTAACACTCTGTCAAACAACTCACAGCAGAGACGACTTAAATAAAAGCCACAATTTGAAAATATTTTCTGTCATTTGTAATTTCTCTTTTAGAAATGAAAGCAAGAAAAAAAAAAGTTAATATAGGATCTGGCATATATATATATATATATATATATATATATATATATTACATAAAAAGAAATCAGATTTTCAGTCATATCGCCCAGCCCCATGTTTTCCCCTCATTTGTCAAACAGGAAGCACATCTGCTGGCTTCAGACTCACTGGTCTTCGTTGCGAAACACCATCCAGACGATGCTGATGCTGGCGCAGATGGCCGACAGCAGCAGTGCGCGGATCTGCGGACGCTTGTGCAGGTACGGCCAGTTGTTCTCTGGGATCCTGTTTTCCATAATTTAGACATCGGTTAGCCTCCCGCTAACGATCACCGTCGCCGCAGGATTTGTTTGTTTCTCTGTCTTAACCGTTTACGTTTCACAACTCATGCTAGCATCTGTTTCTCTTTACAAATCCCACCCATAATTTGCAAGACTACATACTTCTAATTACTGGAGAGACATTTTGTCCCATCACAACCACAAAATTTAAGAAGTTCATTCAATATAAGATACATTTTGGAGGAATGGATTTTGACAGCTCAAATCCATTTCTTCAGCAAGAAGGATTGATAGAGCTGAACACAGAGCAAGGAGAAAACCTGCTGGAGGCTGGAAAAGTAAAAGCTTAGTGATGGCATAGTCAAATCCAAAGAATCTGTGAAAAAAATATTAAGAATTATACTCATCGTCAGATAGTTATTTTGTAAAGAAAGGTCAAGAATCTTACCGACCGGCAGCTGTAACTGAAGTAAAAATGTGCTGACTCATAGCGACTGAACAGCACAAATACATGCCACACTTTTCAGATTTTAATTTCTAAAAAGAATCAAAACCATGACTCATCATATTCCTTCCACCGCTCTGTGTTGGTCCATCACACCAAATCTAAACAAAAATATTCTGAAACTTGTGGTTTTAGTGGAACAAAATGTGACTCTAGTGCAATTAGAAATGTTATTCTAACAGATTATAGATGCATTTTATTTCGAATGAGGAGCATTTTTAATCATCAGTATAACCTCAGCTGCAGCCTCACCTGCACTTGCAGAAAGGAATCCTCCTGACGAAAGGCCACAGGCAGCTGTAGAGGCCGACGGAGGAGGCCACACAGAAGATGGCGATGACCCAAATGGCTGAACAACCAGACATCAACGGCAGAAAATTAACTCAAATTTACTTTCTAGGAGCGTTGAGATGATTCATCTCTTTGCACTCTCTCTGAATTCCCATGTTTGTGTGGCGTACCAAGGTGGTCGTAGAAGAAGTAGAGCAGCACCAGCATGTTGCAGCACATGAAGACGAACACACAGATCATGATGGGGGTGACGTCCACCGTCTCCTCGTCCTGCTTCTCCGCGCCGTCGTCGCGCTTATGCTTCATGTAACGCCTGAAAATAAGATCAGAGGCTGAAGAGTCTCGAACCGAGTCGACGTTTACTGCTCCTGATCATCCATTTTATGAAACGTTTCGAGCGTCAGAGACCCCCATCTGACCCGATAAACAGCTTCAGATAAACTACACAGGTTGCATTTTTTACTATTTCGTATTTGCAAAAATATTTCTGCTCACTCTGAAGGGCGGAGGGGGGGATTCCCACTTACTTCTTGCGATCTCTGCTGCCGGCCCAGTAGGCTCCGACGGCCACGGTCCCCACCGCCATCAGGAAGATTATCACCATGTTGTAGTCCAACACCGGCTCATTGGGAGCATACATGGCAACAAGCCTCCCCTGACCGAAAGTCTGGACGAGTTACAAACAATGAGATCAGCCTGGGTGACTAAATATTTTAAATCTAAGGGTAAAGCATTTTCCAACCATCTTCAAGGTTAAATTTTCAAACATTTCCAACCTCACACTTTAGAGATACAGCTTTGGTTTTAATTCACTTTTATGACATCATTTATTCTGTTTTTAATAATGTCTTGTCTTAGTATTCTACATACAAAGTGAACTAAAATATAACAAAATGTCTCACACACCTTATACGACTGACTGGTCTGGGAACAAAACAATCTCAAAAACATTAATGTACAAAATATAAGAAATCCTTTATTGCAATTACACAGATCAAAACCTCATTAGGAATAATAAATATTCACTACATTGAACAAATTGGTTTGTGTTAAGGTAAAAAACCTTCCCGCTCAACATAAATAAACACTTGACTTTATGCAAGGCGTCTTTTCACATGAAAGTTTATTACAACTTTATTTCAAAACTCTGCAGAAAGATCATCAAGCACTTTCTTTCCAAATGTTGCAAACACTTTATTTGAAATTCAAGCACCTGTAAACACCCTGAAATATTTGTCATCAAGAAAATCCTCACCTTGCTTATGTCCAGCATATCAGTGTAGCTCAGCAGAGCTACAGGAATGTCTATCTCCTCGTACTGGTTCTCGTTTCCTGCTGGTGGAGTCTGTGAAACACACACACACACGATCAATAAAGTGAAACACACACACACACACGATCAATAAAGTGAAACACACACACACACACACACGATCAATAAAGTGAACTGGAATCTGCTCAATACACTGTGACTGTAAGTGAACATCTTACCAGCCTGTCTTTGCTGACGATCAGGATGCCCTTGGCGCCATTGATCTGGGCCAGGCGGACCTTCTCATAGAAGGTGCAGTTGCCCCTCATCACCATGGGGATGCGGTTTGGAAAGCCCCCCTCTGGGACCTCGGAGGGCGAGCAAAGGACCGACGACGTCAAGTCATAGATCTGAAGATGGGACTGTGGTGGAGAAAGATCGGAGCGATTAAAACAAAACTGGAGTGGAAAAAAAAAAAAAAACTCTTATTTCATACGTGAGAAAGCTGCTGTTCAATTTTATTCTAAAAAAATATATAAAAATATTTCATGAGTAAATTGTAAATTTGCACATGAAATTGCTCATCAGAGAGTTAAGCAGTTTCTTTTTACCTCATTTATATTATTACTTTAATTTATTGTTTTTGTAAATAAGTTATATCTGTATTGTGTTTATTTTTGAAGTAAACAGTTGAACTTTGTCAAGAGGATCCAGCCAGGGTTTTCTTTTTTTTGTCGTCAGGTGGACAGAACAGGAAACACGCAGAGCGTCAAGCTTATGGCTTCATTGATTTGGAAACTACAGATAATCTTACAAGCCAAAAATGAAGTTATTTCTTAACAGGACAGAAAAGCACAAATGTCTGTCTTTATTTTGGATTTAGAGGTTTTCTGCAAGTTCTTTGCTGGAATCTCAGAAATTTCCAATGTCTACACCGTAAATGTAACTTTTGTTACTACAATGTAACAGAAGCACACAGTAAATACGATGTTTTGCAAAGGTTTTCATAGACCTTGAACTTTTCTCTCAAGTCTTTTGCAGTTTCTAACAAGGATTTTCCAAGATTATTCTGCATTTAGCTCCATTAATTTACTCTGAACAGCTTCAATGTGGAAAGAAAGCAACCCCACAGCATGATACTGCCACAACCATGTTTTACTGTGGAAATGGTGTGTTCAGTTTGAGGATTAGTTTCCATTCTTGGTTGCTTATATGAGTAATGTGATATGTGAATGAGATATTTTCTAACGCAACTCTGCATTTTTTGTCATGGAGGACAAAAAATGCTTGTCCTCCATGTTCTCTAACAAGCTATTGAAGGCATTTCACTAAATACGGAGATAACATTTTTCAAAAGTTGGTTTACTGATTTTGACTTTTGGTTGCACTGGATTTTATTTATCCAGAGGATACTATTTCAGAGTGAAGGCCTGTGAATAAAACTGCTGGCCACACTATTTAGATTTCTCTTCCTCAACTTCACAATCCTGCACCAATTCGTATTGCTCCATCACACAGCATACATTGAAGTTTGTGGTTGTGACATGTCAAAATGTGAAGTACAAATGGTATGCATGAGTAGTTTTTCAAAAGAATGTTGTGTCACCAGGATACTTACTGCTTTATTAAGGTCCTGAGGTAGACGTGCCCACTGGGACTTGAAGAATATGCAGTAGTCCTTCCCATTGCTTTTGCCCGCATCACTGAAATGGGCCATGCCATACTCTCCCACCACCTGTAGGCAGAAAAACATTGTTTCATTTTGGTCATAAGAGATAGAAGGAATAAACTGAGAAATTATGACACAAATAAACTCACGTAAATCGTTTTGAATTGCCTTGTTGCCGAAAATGTGCTATATAAATAAAATTACCTTACCTTACCTTAACAGGGTTTTATGCTCCTCTTAACCCAATTTTCCATTTTGTAGTTTCGTTTTTACTGTATAACTAAGACATTTTCTAACAATATAAGATTCATGTTAATTTTAATTTAACATAACTTCAAATAACCTATGACTGAGACACAAAAAGAGAAGTGCAAAAAAAAAGAGAGAAAAGCGTTTAAATCTGATTCGGAAAGAGTAATTAAAAGTTTACCACGACTGTTTTCTAACCTGGGTCGAGTTGGTTTTATAGTTGTTTTCTAGAGGCAACGCAAGCCATCTGAATATATTTTACTCCTTTCGGCTCAGATTTCAGACCCGCTGCCATTTTTAAAACCAACGGCACGTTGTAGATTATTAGCAAATAAATCTCTATTCGCTTCCGGATTATTCTGTGCTTGTGTTGGTTTCAGAGATGCTTTGAATCAGCAGCGACCCTCCTTTATTATAATGTCCTATCCACCGGTGATCTGTGGGTTTCAAGGGCCCACGGTGATCTCCGCAAGCTAACGTTCACATAGCATTAAGGCTAATGCAGAAAAAATCGATTACAGTACAGCTCCCCGACTGTGTCAACTAGAAGACTTGCTTGTACAAATATACCGTTTTTGGTGAAACAAATTTAATCACTCTCACCCTCTGGATGAGGAAAGCGGCCCAAATCAGTACTCCGGGAACCCTCATATCGCCGAGCTTGTTGTTGTTTAACCCATCAACCGACCAACCGCTCAGCTCGATCTCTCAGATGCTGTTGGGAAAAGCCACGCCCTTTACACTGTTAGTCATTATTTCATTGGCTGGTTTCATCTGGAGGCAATCAAGAGCTCAATTCTGATTGGATTAGATTAAAATAAAGTAAAATATAGCTTTTACAACGGAAATATAATATGGAACAGTCTGTGGGTTATTTTTTTCCCCCAAAACATAAATAGAAATGAAACATCACACTAATGTGTTGTGTTACCATTTTCAATTTCTGCTCTTGCGTCGCAGTTGTCATCTTCCCTGGTGGTCTAGTGGTTAGGATTCGGCGCTCTCACCGCCGCGGCCCGGGTTCGATTCCCGGTCAGGGAACACATTTTTCAACTTTTGACGATACTTTTTAGTTGAGAAGGGGGGTTTGCATTTATTAACAGGATTAAGAGCCCGCGTTTCATACTGTTCAATTACCGTTTTATCGGTACGACTACAAAGCTAAACAGAACTCCATAAGACTGAATAAGTTAAAAAGAAAAGACAGGCAGCTGTAATTCTCCCTCATCTATTCTGCAATGTCATTGGTATTTCACATGCGCAGCTCATAGCAGGACCCCTCTATAATCTTTGTTGTTGCGTGCTCGTTCTTGTTATTCAGACATGATGCAGTAGCCTTTCATCCTGATGTCATTCCATATGTCCTTCCTTCTGGTGTATATTTTACCTGTGTCAAGTCAGCCATCATTAGCGGAACCTGAAGAATTTCAAACTTAACAATAAGAGGTTGTCAGTGACTTTAAAAAAATCTGACTGTTTAATAAATCATATGAATTCATTGTATAAATTCACGCTACTTATATCCGTCACGCAAGAAATTTATAGTTACCATCCCAACCAGTTATAATAGTTTAATAAATGTCTAAATGATTATATAATCTTTTGAAATACGGTGAATTCAAATTCTTCTTAATGGTTTTCACATTTGATTACTTAACTGTATTTTAGACATTATTGTAAACAAATATTTTGAATTTAGTTGATATAATAAATGCATTTGTCATTTAAATTAACACATATAGAAATATAACTAAAATGCATATTTATTTTAAATTTTGGCACTTACCCCTTGATATTTGCAAAGCAATTTCTTGTTTTATTTGTTTTTTATTTTAACTTTTTTTATTACTTTTTCAGTTTATCTTGGTATACTCTCATTTTTGTATCTTATTTTAATGTTAAACACCTTCTCATTTTTAAATTAATGAAATAAAAAATCTATGAAATTCTCTGAAAAACTTTTACTTTGAAGTTAGACGCCGGAAGTTCTCTGTCTTGACGTCAATAAGATGATAAACCAGGAGATCCACTCAGCTAGTTGGATGAGGAATGCAGTAGTTGTAGCGAACCGTACGGTGAGTATCCATTGCTGTAATGTTTTCTCTTTTAATCTGACTGGCTGTGTATTTTGCTGCCATAATTTGAGTTTTCGTAGTTTGGTTTGTGAGGTTTAAATTAATAAAACAACGACAGCCGGCGTTTAACGCTAGGTTATGTACCGAGCTATAGCTAGCCGTCTTCCGTTGTCAGGATTCGTTTTGTTTCTTCTTGTTAATGCGTTGAAACTCCTTCAATCATGAATAAAATAACGGGATATGTGTGGTTTTCAGTTTGATTCGTGTAATCTGTAACACGTTTGTCGTTAGGTTGTTTTATCGGTTGTATTTCTCAGGAAAAGCCCGGTTTTTTTTTTAAACCGTAACAAAAACGTTAATCAGAAATTGTGTCATTCATAAAAACCTTTAAACTTAGGTATATTTTGTGCAGCGTGAAGAACTAAGAGGTAAAACATCTCTTTGTGAAGTTGCTCCGGGCCCTTTAATTGAGTCAGTTTGCTGAAGCAGGAGCAGGAGGTGATCTAAGTAAGACTGGTATGCAGAGGTCTGACATCAGCCCCAAAGTGTCTGAAAACTAAAGCTGTGTTTTCACTACAACCAAATAAGGAGGACAGGAGGCAGGGCAAGGAGAGCAGCTGAACGTCCATTCTGGCAGGAAACTCTTATGCTGCTTTATAACTCGGGTTACTATCTAAAAAAAATAAGGGAATGTTTTGCTTTTAGAGAACCAGCGATAATTTGAATCCATTTTAGTATTTAAATTCAAAAAGGAAAATTCATATTGGATGGATTCAGTACACAATGTTATTTCTTAAAATTGTATTGCTGAAAGTGTTAACTTTTTTTTTTTGACAATATTCTAAATATTTCCTATTTGAATTGAGTCAGGCAAGTTTTTTTGGCCAATCAAGCACAGTGATACCGTGGTGATTAATCTATATATTGGTGCTTTGAGCAAATTATGAAGTTTGCCATCCATGCTGTTTTTCTATGTAAAAGCCACAGCAGGTATGGCTATGGAACTTCAAGAGGGACATAAAGCAACTTTTTCCTTCCACTCAACTTTCCATCATTATACTAAGATGCAGCGCTTTGTGAAGAGTCAGCTTTATTAGCATGCACCTTTTTGTTGATTAAGGACTTTCAAAGAACATCTGACTTCCCATAATAGACAGCAAAGCATGTCTATTATGAATCCTTTTTATTAATAAAACATCTAATATTCTATTTAATTGTGTGATGCATCTATATGTATGCAACCCTTATTTCTTATTTTATTTTTTTTTCATTGACTGATCTGTATAGTTAACTTTCTTTTTACTTTGCAGGACACCTGCAGAACCTTTTCCCCTCACCGTTAGCGTCGTCAGCACCATGGCTGGCTTCAGGCAGGAAGATGTTGAGCTCTACTACGAGATGGGAGAGGAGCTGGGCAGGTAGGAACCATTCCCACTTGACAGAAACATGTTTTTCAGGTGTTTAATTTCAGTACAGTGGCCCTTTAGTGCCAGGCAAAATGCATGCAAAGCACTTTATGAAACTCTAATAAGGCTTCCTCAGCTGTATAGCTAAAATCCAGTGATCTATTTCTTGTAATTATGAGCGTATCTGGACCACACAGTTTATTGATCTGTCAGGTATGAACTCCAGGCTGCCAAAAAAAAAAAAAAAAAAACTGAGATCATAACAAGTTTGCATCAGCAACATAAAATATAATTTAATGCACTTTTATGCTGCACTGGACACTTTTAAAGACGAGTCATCTTTTTTTTTTTTTTATAAAGAGATTGACCCACCTTCCCGCCTTGGCTAATCTCTTTCTGCAGTAATGCAGCAAAAACTGTGACGTCAGTGGCTCTCGCTGTCCCTTTCCGCTTCTGCTGTGGTGGAGTGTTTCTAAACATCGGGACAGTGTCAGTGTTTTTGTTTCCTGAAACAAATGTGAATTAACAATCCTACAGGGACGGATCCTGCTGTTATGTTTCCACTTTGGTTTCACTTAGATTTTCTTCTTTATAAATAACATTTCACTCCATGTAGTTGTTTTGAAGTGCAATTAAAATGGTTCTTTAGTGATGGACTTGTCCTGAAATGACGCTGATATTAAGCTTTGTTTGCAAGATTTCTGTCTGTCTGAAAAGGAGTCTCTCACTCTTTTAAGAAAATATCTGTTAGTATAATTTACATTTAGAGTTTCAGTAAGGTACAGGCTTAATCAATATTCAAATATTCATTATTTGCATTAGCATCGGCATTTAATGAAGCACTTAAATCTTCCTCAGCTGTATAATTAAAGTGGCTTTTTCAGTTTGCACTGATTACAGCTTGCATCAGTTGGGTGCATAAATAAGTATTTAATGTTGGTCTATGTTGATTTTAAACTGGCTTCACTCCAGACAGCATCTGTGGCATTCCTGCATCTCCATGTTTGTGGAAACTGGTTTGATCCCAAACATCCCAACCAGTTTCCTTTGACCTGGCAGATGTTGGAAACTACACATAGTTAAATGTTCCACATCAAACTGTGTTTGAAATGTTAATCTGAAGCTTCTTGAACGGCCTCCCCCCCTAACTCTCTTGACATCAACCTGATTGAACATTTGTGTGAAAATGGCTTGTTTAACTGTTTAAAGGAACTCTTCCCTTTCCTGTGGGGCAATGGACGACAAATCCAGCCAAAATAATCCCCAAAGATTGTAAACTGAGCTTGTGGTTCCTGAAGATCGTTTAATCAAATATTAGTGGAGGTATAGGCCAGTAAATGTCCCTGTGATTATTTCAATAAACAATAATATTTGTTGTTTTGATATAGAAAATTGAAATATGCAAGATCAATAAACTTTAATTTTACAAGTAACACTTAACACTGGAACAGGAAGAGATTTAAAACGTACTAAATAAAGCACAAAAAATATAAATGGAAAGGAAATAAAAACACACAACCGAAACTGTAAACAAAACCATTTATGAAGTCTCTGTAAATCTTCAGAAAAATATTAATCATCTGAATGGAAATTATTGAACTAATTTTAGCTTATCAAACGATTGATTGATTAATTGGTTATTATGACAGATACTGTGGAATGTGCATGTATCATATAATGAAAAATGTCTTATGATATGGATTTTGATTTATTGTTATGATTAATTTTAGTTATTGAAGGTAAATAAAAAAACAAAACTGGCAGTATGATAGAAAATGATATTTTTGCCATTTTCTCCACTGTTTGTTCCATGAAAGCATCAATAAATTATAAAATATGATTAAATCTACTTACTGTGCAGTTTACTGACATAAATCACACTTTTTAAGTAAGTGGCATTATGAAGAAGATTATTGTAAATAAGAATGTTTGTCCTAAACAATATTTGCCATGATGTTACAACCATACAGTTACCTAAAATATTAGCAAAGAATATGATTTTTTAAATCATAATCTCTCTCTCTCTCTCTCTCTCTCCAGTGGACAGTTCGCCATCGTCCGGAAGTGCAAGGAGAAGAGCACGGGCGTCGAATACGCGGCCAAGTTCATCAAGAAGCGGCGCCTGTCGTCCAGCCGGCGTGGGGTGAGCCGCGAGGAGATTGAGCGCGAGGTCAACATCCTGCGGGAGATCCAGCACAGCAACATCATCACGCTGCACGACATCTTCGAGAACAAGACGGA